GGGCTGGATGTTTCCTGAAGAACAGCTGATCAGAGGGTCCCAGGCAGGAGGGGCTGAACTGCAAAGGAACCCCAGGTAGCCCACTGTCTCTCCATGGCTACTTTGGAAAGACTTAGAGGGTGGATTCTCCCATCCCAAGAGGCCAGATAGTCTTGTCTCCCAGGTATTTTCCAAGCTCGGAGTTTAGTCTCTTAAACAGATTTCAGCAACAGTCAGGCTCACCTCAGGTTATTTTAGGATGGAGCATCGCCTACGATTGAATCTCATCTTCTGCACTTGCGGAGAAGGAAGCATTTCTAGAGAAACATGAGCAGGACAAGTAGTCTCTTTCTGATGGCGCTTTTTTCCTGCATCTCCAGCACCAGCCTGATAAATGGCAAAAAGAGAAGATGGCCAGTTTATTTCTAGGGCAGTATCTCCGGTCTGGGCTGGAGAAGCATTTATGCTAAAGATCTCAAAGGGCCTAGACAGTACAACTACCTGGGTTTTAAACCCAGCATCTTGGAAAAAAATATATTTATCCTTTCCTCTGTTTATTTCAGACGAAGTGTCAAGCTCCAAAGAAACTTTATTCTGCTTGAGCCATTGTTGTTTCTTAGCATGCCTAAAGACCCAGGGGGGAGGGGGGGTGATTGAAATGCTCATTGTAGGTGTAACAGTCCAGCGTGAGAACCAGAGAGCCAGTGGCTGGGAACTGGAGATTTTTCTCATAACTATTGTCTGACATCTAATTGGGGAATGTGACCTGTATTGTCGGGGGGTGGGGGACAGATTCTATACTTTTAATTTACTGTTCAGGGACCAATTTAGCCAGAGCTGGTTTTCTATTCATCAGTGCTGATAGGGTGTGCTCAATAAAGTTTTGCATTAGAAATTGGACTGTCTCAGCTGGGCTAACTTCATTGGGATCATCAGTCGGAACCTTGACATGAAAGGCAAAATTGTTGGCTGTCAAAAGCTGCTAACCAGCGGGAAAATGAAATGGAAGATTCCTGGGACGTCTTGAGAAAAAAAAAATCAAGTTGAAACTGTCCACGTTCCAATTACAGCTGCTATGAGACATCCCAGTCCTGTACTTTCCACCAGCTGCAGGTCAAAAATGGCTAGCAGGGTTTTTCCTAATAGTGCTAAATATTACTTGTGCTACATCATCATGAATCACTTTTAAGCAACAAATGTGGGAGGATTTTGTCATTTCTTTCTTTCTCATGTCTTACTTGCTTATCAGTTGGGGGCTAAAATTGTGAGAGTCTTGTTGTTAGTTGCGAAGTCGTGTCCGACCCATCGCGACCCCACGGACAACGTTCCTCCAGGCCTTCGTGTCCTCTACCATCTTCTGGAGTCCATTTAAGCTCATGCCTACTGCTTCAGTGACTCCATCCAGCCACCTCATTCTCTGTTGTCCCCTTCTTCTATTACCCTCAATCTTTCCCAGCATTAGGCCTTTCTCCAGTGAGTCCTTCCTTCTCATTAGGTGGCCAAAGTATTTGAGTTTCAACTTCGGGATCTAGCCTTCTAAAGAGCAGTTGGGGTTGATCTCCTCTAGGACTGACTGGTTTGATCACCTTGCAGTCCAGGGGACTCGCAGGAGTCTTCTCCAGCACCATAGTTCAAAGGCCTCAATTCATTGGCACTCAGCTAAAGTCTATCCCTTGTGAGAGTCTATCCCTTGTCAATTCTGCCATCTTCGGCTCCAAACCTCATCGGCATCCTGCCATCAATAGCTGGGGGCTGAGTGGGCAGGGGGAAGAAATCAAGGGACCAAATGGGCAGTAAATGTGGATTAGCTTAGCGCTGGGAAATAGGGAGGGGAGAATGACAGTTGAGCAAGACCAGGGATGCTTTGAACCAGTTCATGCTAGTCTTTAAGGACACTGAGACGTTTTGATGCCTGGGAAGGGAATGTTAATTGCTCCCAACACCATACCATTCTCATTGGCTGGAGACGGACCAGTCAAGGGGAGAGGGCAGAATTGGACGGAAATGGTTTGCATGCTTTTGCATGGAAAATTTAGTTCTAGCCTGACTTTACTGCTCCCAACATCTTTTAGTAAAAGAACCTATCACTTCATGTGTAGTTTAATGAAGAGAAGGATGAGGGGAGACATGATAGCAGTGTTCCAATATCTCAGGGGCTGCCCCAAAGAAGAGGGAGTCAGGCTATTCTCCAAAGCACCTGAAGGCAGGACAAGAAGCAAAGATGTTGAGACTCTAGAAAGAGTACAGAGAAGAGCAACAAAGATGATTAGGGGACTGGAGGCTAAAGCATATAAGAAAAGGCTGCTGGAATTGGGTATGTCTAGTTTAATGAAGAGAAGGACGAGAGGGGACATGATAGCAGTGTTCCAATATCTCAGGGGCTGCCCCAAAGACGAGGGAGTCAAGCTATTCTCCAAAGCACCTGAAGGCAGGACAAGAAGCAACGGATGGAAACTAAACAAGGAGAGAAGCAAATTAGAACTAAGGAGAAATATCCTGGCAGTTAGAATAATTAATCAGTGGAACAACCTGCCTCCAGAAGTTGTGAATGCTCCAAGACATGGAAGTTTTTAAGAAGAGATTGGACAGCAAGGGGTTGGACTAGAAGACCTCCAACGTCCCTTCCAACTATTCCATTCCATTCCATTCCCTGTTCTATTCTATTCTATTCTATTATTCTATTCTATTCTATTCTATTCTATTCTATTCTATTCTATTCTATTCTATTCTATTCTATTCTATTCTATTCTATTCTATTCTATTCTATTCTTCTATCCTATCCTATCCTATCCCATCCCATCCTATTCTACTCTATTCTTCCATTCCATTCAAATGGAGTCAAGGGTCTTTCTTTCCTAAGGGATCGGATTGGGGCAGGTCTGACAATCCGTCTGATTTTATTTATACTCCAAAGCTCGACTGCAATCCAGCCAGATCTAAGAAGAAGCAACCGTGCCTGATTCTGGGAAGCTAAGCAAGGTCTGACTGGTTTGGCACTTGCACCCAAGAGCGGCAGGCAGGCAAGCAAGATAAACTCCAAGCAGGCCAAAAGGCTCATCCTGGAAGAAGGAAATGGCAAAGCACTTCCACACTGTTGCTGAGAAAATTACATGGATGTGAATTGGACAAGAAGCAACGGATGGAAAGTCAACAAGGAGAGAAGCAACCTAGAACTAAGGAGAAATTTCCTGACTGTTAGATCAATCAGTGGAACAACTGATTGTTGTAAATGCTCCAACACTAGAAGTTTAAAAGAAGAGTTAAATTTAAATTTACCGACAAAGAATGAAAGGGAACTAATTAACCTTCCATTCCATATTTGGGTAGACCGGGTTGTTCTGATAGACCAGTCTCACCGGATAACACTTTTTAAGAAGAGATTGGACAACCATTTGTCTCTAATGGTATATGGTCTCCTGCTTGAGGTTGGACTAGAACAGGGCTTTTCAACCGGTGGTACGCGTACCACCTGTGGTACATTAACGAGTGGCAGGTGGTACGCAGCCCTGCCTAGCCAAGTGTAGTGGGGGAGGGAAAGAGCCAGCGCAGGCAAGGACTTACTGTGAGAGAGTCCTCTGGAGCTGCAGAGTGGCTGAGAAAGGAGGAGGAGGGGGCCCAAGACAGGAGAGGCTATAAAAGGAGGCAGTTTGGGCGGGAGAGGGAGAGAGAGAAAAAGCAGCAGCCTTGGGAGGAGGGGGGGAGTCAGCTCTAGCTGCACCGAAGGGAAAGAAGGAGGAGGAGGAGGAGGGTGGGGGGAGAGGAGAGAAAATCAAGATGGCCAGCCATGAGCCGATCTACAACTGCTGTGGCAGCCACCTGTGCTGGCAGCAGCAAACAGGCAAGAAATGCAGCTGGGGGAAAAAAGGCAGCAATGGCTGGAGGTGAGGCACGGGGGAGGGGGGGAGGGAGATGGAGAGTGGAAGGGAGATGGAGAGTGGAAGGATTCTTATGTGCTTTTGTGACTTTGAAGTTCTGGGATTTGTGCAATGTCGGCTTTGTGTTCTTAAGAAGTGTTTGGCAATTTCTATTTGGCTGATGTCTCGTGTTAGGTTCTATTGCTCTGCTATTGTTAGCTGTAAGTTTTGCTGCAAGGGATTTTGAAGTATTTTTCTCCTGAATGGATTTTGCCTAAAGCATTCCTTTACTTATGAATGGAGCCATTTGGGGAGGTTGCCTTAGCCGGCACCCAGTACTTACATTTTTTTTTTTCTTCCTTAAGTCCAGGCTGCGCTCCTTAACTTTGCTTTCTAGCCAGTAGCTAATTCTTAAAGGGGAATGTGCCTTTTTAAGCTAGTTCACTGGGCAGTTTGTCTTTTCTGTCTCTGGAGGCTTTTCCTTGTTTGATGAATATATGGAAGAAAGAAAATATGGGGGGGGGGTTTCAAATTCTTCCTTCAGAAGGAGGTGGGCATGAGAAAGAGGGAGGCAGGGAAGGAGGGAGGGAAGTAAGTCCCGCTTTAGCACTTGGCCACCAGCAGCCCTGCCATTGACTTTGCTTGTCAAAAGGTTGCAGAAGGGGATCACATGACCCTGGGACACTGTGACCATCATAAACATGAATCAGTTGCCAAGATATAAATCACATGACTCTGGGCATGCTGCAATGGTCATAAGTGTGAAAAATGGTCATAAGTCATTTCAGTGCAATTACAACTTTGAACAGGTTTGGTGTTTTTTGGGGGGGTCATCAAGTTTTTGACACCTTGCTAGGTGGTACTCGAATATTGCCATATCCTAAAAGTGGTACAATCGGTGAAAAGGTTGAAAAGCCCTGGATTAGAAGACCTCTGAGGTCCCTTCCAACTCTGTTATTCTGTTCTGTGTCGCCCTGCACTTGGTGAAGCTCAACTGAGGAGACCCTTCCCACATCCTTCCTCCCTCTCTTCTCTCTTGCTCTGAGCAGGAGCAGAACAAGCAACGGCTCCTTTTACCACTGGATCTTCCTCCCTGTTGTTGTCTGTTCCCAGGTTGTGATTGCGAGCAGGGGCAGAGGACCCAAGACCCCTCCTTTCCCCACCAACCTTCCACCTGAAGTTCCCTGATCTTCTTCAGAGGCAGGATGATGGGTTTTCTAGCACTTCCCAGCTCATTTATGGGGCTTTTTCTTTGATTCCTGAGTTCCTGATATTTGGTCCTCTGAAGTACGTCTATTAAGACCAAAGAGACTCTCTCCTAGATAAGAGGAAGGTAGGACATTCTGAGATTTACAGGAGCTGGAAAAATGGCTGCCTTGTTTCTTCCTCCTTCCTTTCTGAATCCTGTTCAAAATGCTGCTTGTGGGGAAGGGGCTTGTGAGGATCATGAGTGAAACCCTCAGGAAGGCTGTGCTATCCACGCCAGCTCCATCAAAGCACAAAGGCCTGGGGTGATAGTGGATGTGTTTCACTTACATATCAGGAAGAGAATAAAAGCTCCCAAGATTAAGGCAGCCGCAATTCCCACAGGAATCTGCCCCCCTGTAGGTAAAGAAGGAGAAACAGGGTTCCGGTTAGACAGATGAAGTGGAGATGCTGAGCAATGGAAGCATTTCCCAACCTTCACTGGCTTCCAGGAAGTCCCTCCCCACCTGAAGGAAGCCCCTCCCCTCCATGGCTGAAGAGAGCAGAGTGAATGGCCTTGAAGGGCAGAAGGAAGACCCATCATCTGATATTATATCATCATATCTTCATACCTTTGCTATTAAGTTATCAATTCCAACTCCCCCGACAGAAATCACTTCTCTTCCATTGCTAAATGCAGGACTGTATTTCCTGCTCTCCACCTGAGATGATGTAGCAGAAAACTCTCCTTCCCCCCCCCCAATTGCAAATATTGATGTAATATTTACTTTTACACAAAGTTTTAATCTACACATTACAACCCACCAGTCTCTCACCTGTTTCCTCCTTGAAAGCCAAAATCAGGGGCTCCTGCAGGCCCTGGTGCTCCAGGTGACACCGATAACGGTCCCTCTCCTTGGGGTCGATATCAATGCTGAGCCAGACATAATAGGTGCCGTCCGAGTTGGGGACCACGTTCCTAGGGAGGGTCTCATACAGGCAGGCCTCTCCGTCCCTCGTCCAGGTGGCCTGGATCTGCTTGGGATAGAAGCCAAAGGCCTGGCAGATGAGGACCTCCAGGCTGTCATCCACCTCCTTGTGGGTCACCTTCCCCACTGGGGCCTCTGTAGAAACAGCAACACCAGAGTTCCTGGGATTACTAGAATTTCCATCAAGGTGAGTTAATAACGAGGAGGGGCTTCTCTTTGGCCCTCCTCCCCCTCTGCTCTCTCTCCTCCTCTAAAGCTGTGGAAGCCTCAAAGATGGGACATGGAAGCTCTTTAGATGCATTTTGGAAAGGGGTAAATAGGGTTTGGGGTAAAGCTCTCCAACCAAAATAATTGTAATGCGCGAGGTTTGATTTAATTGACTCTTTCACCACCACCACCACCACCAAACTGAATTTGTTCAACTTGTTCCAGAGAGAAATCAGGAACAGACTGATCTTTTCCTTCTGACCCAAACACAGGACATCAGTTTCTTCTGATTTTTTTCAGGGAAATAGAATGAGACCTTTGGCATTAATTTCTTGCTCAGTTAGTTACTTCATCTGTACAGTCCTTATTCTGGGAGGTATTGAAGATTATTTTCCTTCCGTAATGTGATGTGGGCTACTAACTGATCCTTTTCTGAAAAGGGTGGCTTGGCTGTGTAGGGCAGAAGTAATATTGGGGGTGGGAATCCTACAGACACATGCTCAGTGGAGACCCCCTTTTGCCATTCACCGGTCTTCTGCAGAGCCTCCTTCTTGTAGGGCAGGTATCTCTGCAGCCACTCAATGCAGGTCTCCTCCAGGAAGACTTTATTTCTCTGGGACCATCCTGGATGATCTTCCCACTTATCCTTGACTTTCTCGGCCTGAGGCTGAGCTGCCACCCATCTGAGGGTCTCTTTGTCGAAGCTGATGAAGTCCCTCCCATTGTAGCCATAGTGCAAAAACCCTCCTTTGCTCCCGTCTTCCCAGAGCTCACAGCCCAACATCAATTGCCAGGTGTGAAATCCTGAAAGAGACCCAGAAGGGGTGGATTAGTTCCTTTCCCATACATACCCTACTGCAGGGCTTTTCAACCTTTTCACAGATTGTAGCACTTTTAGGACATGACAATATTTGAGTTCCACCAGTGCTTAGCAAGGTGTTAAAAACTTGATGACTAAAAAAAAGGGGGGGGTGGATTTTGGGTTTTACTGATTAGATTCATTTGTTGTTATAGAAATGGCTAGTTTATAATATTATGGAAAAATAAAAAGTTGAGGTTCAATGTTAGTGCTTCCTTCTACTTCAACAGAGGAAGTATGTTCTTTTTCCCTTCTCCCACTCATTTCCCCCCTTTTTCCTCCTCACTGTGTCCTACTATTTGCTTTTGTATTTTTGTATTTTATTCTATAATCTAATAAAATATTACAAACTGTAGAAAAAAAGAAAAAAAAAGTACCAGTTTTAATTTCTTCAGTGGCTGTTCTTTTGCTGAATCACTTTCCTTTTACACTGACAAATATATGATGAATTTATCCCTGTTTATTAATATGCATCACTACCAGCTAGTTCAGGGGTCTTCAAACTTGACACTTTTAAGACTTGTGGACTTCAACTCCCAGAATTCCTCAGCCCTCATGGCTGGTTGAGGAATTCTGGGAGTTGAAGTCCACAGGTCTCAAAGTTGATAGGTTTGTAGATTCCTGAGCTAGCTGGTTGGCCCTTCTGAGCTCTTCCACAGTATCGTAAGAATGCACTCTCCCAATCCCTTCCCTGTATCCTTAAAGACACAAGAATCAAGTACAAAGCAAGAAAGCTGCCTCGTCACATGTCACAATGTTGCAATTCTAGACTGAAAGGCTCTGGCAATTGCGAAAAGCTTTAGCTTTAAATTAAGTCAGTTTACCTTCAAAGAAAACTTTCTAAAAGCCACAGACAGACTCAATTAAAGGGGGTAAATTACATTCATTTAAAGGGATTAAACCTTTCCTGTTGTCTTTTTTCCCCTTCCCCCACCACCCAAACCACGTTCTTTTATAGCTTCTCCTCTCTTCTCTCCCCCCTTTTTCTTCAGTTCACCTCCAGCTCTGAGCTGCTTCTGGAAGTGCCAATCAGCCCTGCCGGCTCCTGGGGCTTCTGCCGAACCCAGACAGTCCAGCAGCTGTAGCTGCCTCTCCCTCAGGCTTGGCTCACTTTGGCTCTTTCCCCTCCCCTGCTACACTTGGCTAGTAATCACGTACCACCTTCCATGTGGCAAAGTACCACAAGTGGTACAAGTACCACCGGTTGAAAATCCCTGTCCTACTGGCTACCATTCAAGTGTTTGCTTCCCTCCCCTCCCACCAGCTGAAGCCAAAATACTTTGGCCACCAAATGAGAAGAGAGGACTCACTGGAAAAGATCCTGATGTTGGGAAAGATGGAAGGCAAAAGGAGAAGGGGACAGAATAGATGGTTGGTGTCATTGATGCAACAAACATGAATTTGTGCAAACTCTGGGAGACAGGATGAGTTGGGGATTAGTGTGCTGTGCTCAGGGTTTAGTGACTGAACAACATCCCACCAGGGGAGGGAAAATGGATCTTACCTGTCCTCTTTCTTTCAATTGGTAGTGGTCTACCAATTGTGATCAGGGACAATGGAATGGAATGGAATGGAATGGAATGGGATGCGATGCAATACAGTACAGTACAGTACAATACAATACAATACAATACAATACAATACAATACAATACAATACAATACAATACAATACAATACAATACAATATAGAGAATAGAGAATGGAATGGAATGGAATGGAATGGAATGGAATAGAATAGAATAGAATAGAATAGAATAGAATAGAATAGAATAGAATAGAATAGAATAGAATAGAATCATTATTGGCCAAGTGTGATTGAACACACAAGGAATTTGTCTCCGGGTCTGAAGCTCTCAGTGTACCTCCAAACAAGAAAGTAATAGAATCCTAAGATACAATAGGAAAAGTAATAGGAAAGGTAATAGGAAAGATGTCATGAAGACCACAGATGAGATCTTGGAGGGGTAAAAGGGTGTTTTCTCTCCTTTACAGGAAAGGATCTCTCACCATTTATGCCCCTTGCAGCCCTTAGTGGCCAATCGATATTTTCCTTTCCTGGAATGGAGCTCATCTCATCCACCTAACCTCTGGCTACCCCCTTTCGATTCTTTGCCTGCTTCCATCTTCTCCTGGTAATCAAAGACACAAGAGACCAAAAGTGAAACTTGAGGGAGAATTGGAGAATTCTTGAAGGCAGATCTGCCTCTGCTCACCTCCAGTCTGAGGGCTAAGTTTGGATAGCCACTCTAGGCAAGTCCTGAACAGCCTCTCGGGGCTCACAAAGATTTTTGCCTCCTCCGCCTCCATCCCGGGCACCAGGGGGACCACGCTGTTGGTGAGGCCATCAGAGCGAGCGAAGGGCTGGTCATCCAGGTGGATCACGGAGAGGAACGGGGGCAGCCCCTGACTGGGCTCCAACACCTTCCAGCAGGAATAGCAGAGGGGGTGTCTGGAGGAGCCTGGAAGGAGAAGAGAGTGAGGGACAGAATTAGAGTGGTCAGCATCTCCAGCTCCTCCCTCGGTGCTATTGGGAAAAGCCCCTCTCCAACGGGGAGACCAACCAGGCTTCCTGCTCTTGGAAGCTGCACCTCACCCAGAAGAAGCCACTCTCCCTTGCTGTCCTCTCGAAATTTTTCTCATCAGGAGGCAGCTGATTGGAGGGTGGCCTAGGGCAGATTCAGGGCAAGGGGGCGGGGATCAAGAGGAGTGTGTGTGTGTGTGTGAGAGAGAGAGAGACAGAGAAAGAGAC